GAATGAATGAATGAATGAATGAATGAATGAATGAATGAATGAATGAACGAACGAATGAACGATCTGATACTGGAATGATCGATACTGATACTGATTTTGTCAACAAGAAATTTTTTTGTCTGCCACTGCCTTTTTCTGAGATAGTTTTTGACTTCCCCGTGTACTCTATAGATTTCCTGATGGCCCTGTTATAAATATTAACTGGATTTGATCCCACTGATCCTCACTGATATCAGCCTAGAGAGCTATGTACCTCCCCCTTGCAGGACATCTTCCATAGGAAACAGGATCAAAAACAGCTTCTAACAGGTTTGAAAACAGACAAGAGTTTCACATGTAATTTCAAAAACTTCCCAAAGCTTAATCTACTTTTTTTTCTCCATGCCAAGATTGATCCTTGCTCATACATACATGAAATGAATCCCATCTTCAGTAAAATAAAAAACAAAAAACCTACATTTATAACTTTAAAAATGCAGTTAACTGTAAGGAAAAATCACAAGGAAGAAGAAAATGAAACCATGGTAATGCCCATATTTAAAGAAAAACCATACTATGAGCCGTAGCCTGACTGCACAAGAAACAAAACCCAAAAAATTGCACAGGAAGATTTTTACTGCAAAAATCAGAGAAGATAGCTAGGAAACAAACCAGTTTTGTTAAGTAACATTGTAGAACATTGAGCACATAATTGAACACCTCTTTAAAACAAGCTGAGCATCAACATTTATGTTCTCCTCTTGGTAAAAAAAAACAACAAGAAAATACATTGGCATTCTGCAGGATAAATGTGATTTGTTATAAAGAATAATTTTTCTTTCAGTAAAGGGCTGGCTCCCCTCCTAAAACTGCAATTCCTATGCCAAAATGCAAAGCCTGAGAAAACTCAATAAAGTGCATTCTTTACAGACTGATTTTCCCATATCACAAACTAATGTATACATTTTATCAGGGATTGTGTCCACTAAAGACTAAAATTTGCTAGACTATGCCTGCATTTTATATAGTATAAAACTTAAACCTATCTCTTTAAAACAGTAAAGAAATCATAAACAAAGGCAGCCATGTGAGAGTACTAATTTGATCACATAGATACATCAAAGCAACAATTATACCCTCAGAGACATAAGAGACTTAAGCAGAAAATGTTTAATATATGCAATAGAATTTTTTTGATGAGCGTCTTTCTTACCCTTAGTTATATCCAACTGATGTCGATGTACTTCGTTATTCATAATAATACAGGATCACAACCACTAAGTTTAAATCAAGTAGTAATATCAAAACACTACGAAGTAGCAGCTTCCATTTCTCTTAAAACTTTAAGAGCTTTGATATACAATATTTTTTAAAAAAAAATTATTTCACCACAAAAATATTCCTACCTTTGTTACTGGTATGATACAAATGTTTTTCAAAGACGTATCAGAAACAAGTGCATCAAATTGCCTAGAGGGAGTAAGTTACATGTTTTTACAAACAAAAACACTCTGAATGTAAAAGTGTTAATTAGTTCTGCTGGGGACAGCAATGACATCTTAACAGTAACAATGCCTTAACTACAGCTTCTCAATGAGAGTATATGGGAGATAAACATTTTTTTTTACATTAGCGGTGTGAATAGTGTTCATTACTATTATCACTGTGCTTCCAAACTATTGGAAGGATTGCATATGTATTAGATATTTTGCAGGAACCATATACAGTAAATTATTGAGGAATTCCTCATTCACAGACTTAGTTTATATTCCATACTGTGAGAAATTATACATGTATGCAATTGTGTATTTGTATCACAATTGCATTTTCACATTTTCACCTCACATTACAGCAGCATCTGGATACTGGAGGTTAGTACAAGAATACAAGTTGTCCTCACTTAACAGCAACTCGTTTTATAGCTGGACAAAATTACGATGGCCACAGAATGGATGTTTTGTGGCCCATAAGTGGCTCCCATGGTCAAATGACTACATGTCAGTGGGCCAGTTTTATGGCATTTTGTGGTCACATGACTGCAATTTAAATGAATGGGTTTGTTTAACAAACTACTGCAAAAAAAAAAAAAAAGGCTGGAAAATTACTTCTGGTCATGGATGTCTACCAGGCACAAAATACCAGGTTCATACATGAAGGTTTAAATTAAATTCAAAACCACAGCAATTTGTTGTTACTCATTTAAATATAGAGGAATGCACTGCAACAAATATGATAAACTGGAGGAAGGATTAAGTGTGTTCACTGCCTTGAAATGTATTGAAACAGACAGATAGACAGACAGACAGATTTTAACAAGAACTCCCTTCTCACCTTCTCAATTATCTTTCTCCATCTTGGATGGTCCATCAGAGATCTGGGAGTTTTAGAGTTTTGTGCAGTACGATGTTTCATTACTCAAACAAAATAGCATGACATCATGTCACTTAGTTTAGGTAATGAAACATCTGAAAACAAACCAACAAAGCTCAGAGAGAGAGCACCAAGGACCCTTCATTTCAACCAAGCTACAAATATTCTCCTTTATCTATGCAGTATCTCAGCTGTTCCTAGCACAACATTCTTCTAGACAGAGAGAATTGGCACTTTCTAGAATCTGTTGGAGCCACTTTCCCAGGATAGGAGCATAGCCCCAAGTGCTCCTACCACCACTGGACCAAAGTCTGTGCCAGATTTGGAGGAATTAGGACAATTTGATGAAAAGTGAGATATTGGAACAAATCATACTTTGGAAGCCATATTCCACGCTGCCACATAGCCTGAGAAAGTGGGAGGGGGTGATTTCAATTAAGTAGCTCTTAGTAGACAAAATAAAATTCTTTTGTTAGTTCAAGGTCATTTAGTATGGTGCAGGATGAAATAAGGATCTTACTTTTTGATGAATCGTGATTGGGCCATGTAATGTGATGACGAATTAAGGGGGATGGATTTGTAATTTGGGAAATTTTGGAAAGCCCGAAAACTTTTAGATTCAGGATTCTACAGTTGTGCCAGGTGCTATTCTAATAAAGGTACTTTTTGAGATACGTTTGTGTCGGAGTTACTGATTGGAATAGAGGTTTGCTGGAATGCTGACACAGACAGGATAGCAATAATAAGAAGGATAAAAAAAACCTATGTGTCAATCATTAACAACTAGAGTTATGCAAAGTGTTTAAAAGAATTTTGTCAAAATCTGTTTTGCATCCTCTGCCTTTTTTAGTCTGTGATATTTTCGTTTTAACTTGGTTCTTAGCTCTATTTTAACTTCGAGGTTTTTG